AAAAACCGTGGAACCACTGGCCAGGGTCATGAGTCCCAAGCACAAAACATCAAGGAGTGATAACAAGACAATGTTTAATAAATGTGGAATTCTACCTCGTCCGGAACAATAACCATAATCACTGGTCTTTGTGCTATTTATGCTGTTCCACTTGCCAGTCACATGTAGAGCAACAGCAACATTTACCAGCATGTTCAGAATCCAGCACATGACCAGGATGTTGGAGGACCCGATGTATTTGAGGGTATGTAGTTTGAGCTGTGCCCACCTGAGTTCTCTGGGGCTGATGGTGATGGCCTGGAAGATACTCAGGAGGCAGGTGTTGCCAATGCACACACCTCTGCCCACTCTGTGAACATAAAACACAAGTTGGCATCCAGTATCACTCAGGGAATCTTTCAATCCAAAAGCAGCCATTGTCTGTGGGATTCCTTTAGAGAGTAAGACCAAGGAGTTGGCTACGGTCAGGTGCATGAGAATCAGATCTGTGGACTGTAACGCACCTCTGGTGAAGCAAAGGAAACTATAGTGGTAAAGAAGAAAGAAATTCCCCAGGCATCCGACTATCATCTGAGATAAGAAGATCATGCCTATTGCCAAATCCCTGGAGGCCATTTGTCATCTTTCAGTGACTGGTAATTACATTCAAAGTGAGAACCCTGTGAGGAAACATGAATTCTGTTTCACTTTTGCAAATAAAAATCCACTATTGTCCACTTATCATTGTTTCCAACTTAGACATTTTCTTATTAGAGCCTGTTTTTTAAATAAGAGTTTGCTCTAAAAAAAACATATACATCCCCACGAGAAGAGTACTATATTGGTGTTTTACATATAACTTTTACAGTAATTTTGTGGTATAAGTGCTTTATTATTTCCATTTTACAGGTAAGGAGATCCTACACAAGGAAGCTTGATGACTTTTCTAAAGTAACTTCTTTATAAGATGCGGAATCAAGATTGGCCAATGTGCTTAATCGCTGTGTGTCTCACCCTTGGACATAGCTATGGTTTTCTAATGCTTCATACATTTTGTCCCTTTCTTTAAACCTGTATTTTTAAAAAAAATTTGATTGTGGTAATTTCTCTAATTGCTTATTTAAATATAATTGCTTATCTTATGAGCAATTATCACTTATAATGATTCAGAAATCCAAGTAGAATATAAACACATTGATTTAGTATAATCCTAAAAGAATAATATCCTACAAGACCAAATGAAATTTATTGAATGCATTAACGATTTCATGTTGAAATTCAAAAAGAAGATTATTTCTCATCTTAACTAAGAGGACATAGAAAAATGTCTGTTGCTAAGCAAGGGGACAAGGAACATGAGTAGGAGATAAAACACTGCAACGGAGAACCAGGTTGTCATTAATCACAGTGAAATTTGGTACTGGTTTATGAATACAAAAATATCAAATGACATTTTTTCAGGCCAGGCATGCAGCCTTCACCTGTAATCCCAGCACTTTGGGAGGCTGAGGTGAATGGATCACTTGAGGTCAGGAGTTTGAGACGAGCCTGGTCAACATGCTGGAACTCCGTCTCTACTAAAAACACAAAAATTAGCCAGGCGTGATGGTGCATGTGCCTGGGGTCCCAGCTACTTGGGAGGCTGAGGCAGGAGAATCGCTTGAACCCTGGAGGTGGAGGCTGCAGTGAATCGAGATCCCACCACTGTACTCCAGCCTGGGTGACAGAGCAAGACTCCATCCCCGCAAAAAGAAAAATTATTTCAATGTCAGAATTGTTTGATATATTAAGATATAAGTATATCATGCAAAAGGAAAACTCGAGGTAGGGAACATTGAATTAAGTGTTAGTATTGAGCCTAAGAATGGCTTTAGAACATTTTTGAAGACAGGGTAAATATTACTAAATAATTTACTTCTGAAAATTACTGAAGTCCATGATTTTTGTTCCAATATGAAAACCTAAGGTCATCAAGATAGCTTTCCTTGACTGCTCCTCCCATGACGTCATGAAAGAATATGGTCTTTTCGTCATTCGCAGAGACCAGACTTTCCTGTCACCACACATCACAGTCTCCACTAGGTCCTTTATATGTCCAGAGTACGCTAAAGCTCTATGTTTCATACTTTTGAGAACAAGATAATTTAATCAGTGACATCCTATACATTCTCACAGGCATGAAGTAACTGCAGAAATGCTTCCACTCATCTGGGAAATCTTTCCGACTTGTGGAAATGATAGAACAAATAGCGGATTAATTTCCAAATTATTCTAGGAAACTTTTTTTTAAAAAAGCATTATTCCCATCTTATAGGTAAGGAAATCTTAGACAAGAAAGATCAACAAAAACAGATTTTGGGGGCCAGGCATGGTGGTTCAGGCCTATAATCCCCACACTTTGAGAGGCAAGGCTGGCAGATCACCTGCGATCAGGACTTCAAGACCATCTTGGCCAACATGGCAAAACCCCATCTCCACTAATAATACAAAAAATTAGCCCGGTGTGGTGGCAGGCGTCTGTAATCCCAGCTATTTGGGAGGCTGAGGCACAAGAATTGCTTGAACTCAGGAGGTGAAGGTTGCAGTGAGCCGAGATTGTGCCATTGGATTCTAGCCTGGATGACAGTGTAAGACTCCATCTCAAAAAGAAAAAGAAAAAGAAAAAAAAATTTTAAAGTAGATTTTTGGCTTCTTGCATCAAAAACCAACAATGACAAGCATGAGGATTTCGTTAAGCTAAAAGCTGCAGCTGGGCACTGGTCATATTCTTAGAACTTTGCTCTCTCTCCGCCACTTAGCTCATGACCCAGCAATTATTTCCTTTTTCCGACATGGCCTTGGCACTGGTCAGGTTCTGGCCCAGTGAGATCTCCTTTCCACACCAGAGCATTTACGCCACCTCCTGATACACTTGCTCCTCTTGTAGATGCTCCCTCATAGACCAAAATGTAACACACCCACCAGGCGTCTCCCTGCTGCCAGGCTGTCAGGACAGCCAGCGAGTGTGTGGAGGGAGGCGGCCAGGTTGGAGATTTGGGTTCAAGATCCTGTGACCTCACCTTCCCATAGAACTGCAATTATACTTTACCTGTGGCAGCAATGAGAGACTTGGGAAATTAAAAATATTTTTGAAAAACTTAGTCCCAGTTACAATTACCAAAAACAATGACAACTTCCCTGCAGCACCTCCAGAGAGATGACCGTGCCTGGGGAGCCTGTTTTTCTGTGATCCTTTGAGGCAGACAGGGGCTCTCCTGAAGGGAGCAGAAACTGTGGAGTCTGAGACAGAAGAGGAAGAGAGTGAAGCACAGTGGGTGCTGGATTTTGTGCTTCCTGGGATGTGTTTTTGTTGAAACTCAATTTTCTGTTATTCCTCAAATTCTTTAGATGAACTATGATTCAATTAATAGAGAAATGAGATCACACAAGTAACTTGAGAAGGATTTGTCAACAGATTACAGTGCCAGAAAGAATGTGAGGTTCAACATTGGCAAAAAAAAAAAAAAAAAAAAAAAAAAAAAGAGGCACCTGTGTAACTCAATGCAAGTTGATAGGCATATGTAGATTGCATATATAAGTGTGTGTGTGTGTGCGTGTGTGTGTGTATGTGTGTGTGTTTGGAATATATGTTTTGTCAAAGTGTAACTCAATAGACAAACTCTAAACTGAGCAATATTTATAGAAAAAACAGACATTTAATAAGGAATTTCCTCACACACACATACAAGCACCAAGTTTATGTAGTTGAGAGGGAAATTCTACCAATACAGTAATCAATAAGCCAATGCTACTTAAACTACTCAAGAGTTATAGAGAGGTCAATCTTTCCTGAAATAGCTTTTAGGAAGGATATGCAAAGGTGATACCAGAACCTTGTCTAGATTTAGCCATATAGGATACTAGAGACAAATAGGACATATACATTTAAGAGTAAAAAGATTACATGTTAGAAACCATTGCATCAATATATTAATGCCTAATCCATCGCCCTTTATGTTATAAAGGGAAGTATGATTCAATATTAAGAAATTCATTGATGAAAGTAATCACATTAATTGAATGAGAATGTCATGTGACTATGTTCATCAATGCAAAAAGAAATGGGCAGAATTCTACAGAAAATTATGTTTAATAAATATAGTAAGAAATTGGTGGAAAGATTTCTGAAAAACATGAAAATAGATTTAGACAAATGAAAAATAATGACATCAATTGTTTGGGTGTCATTCACAATATTGGGTGTAATTCAACAATATTCAGAAGTCAATAACCTTTGAAGAAATGTGTATGCTGAGTTTGACCCAAATATAATGCCACGTGCTTGTGTTCTGAAGACCTTAAAAATGCATTGCTATGAAAAATACACAAAAAAATCCATGGACAATTAGAAATGAAAAAAAAAAGTCCGGGTATGGTGGCTCATGCCTGTAATCCCAGCACTTTGGGAGGCCAAGGTGGGTGGATCACCTGAGATCTGGAGTTCAAGACCAGCCTGACCAACATGGAGAAAACCTGTCTCTACTAAAAATACAAAATTAGCCAGGCGTGGTGGTACATGCCTGTAATCCCAGCTACTTGGGAGGCTGAGGCAGGAGAATCGCTTGAACCCGGGAGGTAGAGGTTGTGGTGAGCAGAGATCAAGCCATTGCACTCTAGCTTGGGCAACAAGAGTTAAACTCCGCCTACAAAAAACAAATTTCAGTTTTTCAAAATCTTTTAATTATCACTTTGTCTAAATGAATGACTATTATTTTTCAGTGACCTGTGATTCTATTTTGAACTATCGTTTTAAGCCTTTAATATAGTTGACAGCCTTCCCAAAAATCACATTTTAAATTTAAAATTAAGTCTTATTGACCCCAAATTAACTGAGGTGTTACATAGGTTCCTTGAAGCATCCAAAAGAGAGTTAATAAACGGGCTTCTTTGCTATTTTTAATTATGTGGGAAGCATTATCTAATAATACATGTTTAGTCTTATTCTAGTTATATTTTATGGACATGTTATTAATATATGTTCCAACTTTGTATGAGATTTCTAACATTCTGATTCTTAACATATATCTTGGCAGGTTATAAGTCATAATTGTGGTTACTATGTAAAATAATTGTAGGCCACAGAAATAATCAAATTTTCTTATCTATTGTGTCTTTACAACTATTTTAAGTCATTTCCACAGCTAATTGCTTAAGTCTTACAAATTTTTTGAAAAGTCTTCACAAGCCAGTAAAATCCTAGAATATTGTGTCTTCAAGGAGGCTTATGGAAGGCTAGAATGAACCCTGATAAGAGCTCTTGAATACAACTTTCTGATGATTTTAGAGTCATTTCGTTTGGACCAGGTAAGAAGTTCCAGAGCTCTAATGAAGAGATTTGACTATTTTATAAAACTGCTAACCCAAGCAGGACAAGAATTAATTTAATATCAAGAAAATACTCTGCCAGTTATGGCCAGTATTGAAGTCATTTACATATGCAATTTGAATGAACTTCATGATCTGAGTCAAATGGCAACCCATTTAATAAACAGTGCAAATACCTGATTTGGGGAAACACAACTGACATTTAAGAGAATATAAATTCACTGTTAAGTGTGGATTCATGGAGAGCATGGACAGCTGCCCAGTCCTTCCTGAGTCCTTAAAAGCTTTCCTTATTATAGCTCTATACTTCAGGAATCTTCCATGGAAGAAATAAAATAATCCAAAACAAATATATATGGCCAATGTTTGG